CGGGCAGGACCCGCACGCCAAGCACCTGTACACGGCCGACATGTTCACGCACGGGATCCAGAGCGCCGCGCACTTCGTCATGTTCTTCGCGCCCTGGTAACTGACCGCGTCGCCCTCCTCCGGGCTCCAGCCCCGCACTCCGCGCGCCAGGAGCGGCTCCCAGGGCCGGGCAGGAGGCGTGGAGCGCGTAGGCGCCGCGGGCTCCCAGCTCCGGGCTGGGGCGCGGGGACCCCGGCTGGGGTCGGGCCGGGATGTGGGTAGCTGGGGTTCGCAGCCGCGGGGTGGGCACCACGGGCTCGGGGCAGGAGGCGTGGGGCGCCTGCGAGGGGCCCTGGGCCGGGGGGCGTGGGCGCCACGACTCGGACGCTCGCAGCTGACGTGGCGCTCGGCAGCCGGGGCGGTGCCGAAGGAGGAGGAGGCTCCCGACCCGGGGAGCCTGGAAGAGGCCGCCCCTCTCCTGCCCCTTGCTCTCGAACCTTCCCCCTCCCGTCCCCGGACTGAAGAGCAAGATTGGGGTCCCTTTGCTCAGGGCTGCCGGAGCCCAGACATCACCCTGCCGGGCCCCTGCCCAGCGCCCCAAACTTCCTGTGTCTGCCGGACGCAGCGGGCTGCGGGTTGGCTGGCACACGGGGGACACGTGCACTCGCCGGGAGGAGCCTGTCTCCGGGCCAAGCTGGCCAAGTAGACGTCTGGCTAATCACCTTCGTGAAAGTTTAACTGGAAAATAAAAACTCACCATACGTTTTGTGGGTACGAAGGGGTAGACGGGGACGGCAGACGGGGACTTCTGTACCACGCTAGTAAGGGACAGTCTTGCAAATTCTGAGTGTCCCGCTGCAGCCTGGAGTGGATGTGAGCCCTGCTCTTGCTGGCCCACAAATCCAAGGCTGTCACTTCCTCCTCTCCCTATTTTGGGGGCCAGGTCATTTGGAAATTGTGAGGTGGGAAAGTTGCTGGTTGAAGTTACACCTCCTGCTTGACCCTTACCCCGGGAATTATTTTGCACACAAGCACACCCAGTGCTCTCCTTGGGGCCTGGCTGTAGATTACCCCAGGAAGGAAGTTCTCATGGGTCAGGGCGGAAAGCCCCCAGTCTTAGTGCACAAGTTTGAGATGTGCTCCGGCTGTGCTTATTGCAGAATTTACATTGTTTCCCAGAGCTCAGAGAGGCTTATTAGGAAAAGGGATGTAGGATGAGTAAGGGACCTAAACATGGCTTATTCAGAAATGAAGCCTTTTTGGAGTTGGAAAAACTTTTTTTTTTTTTAACTTCATAGTAGTGCTATGGTTATATTTCAGCTCCTTTGGTGTTAAATCAACTGTTTTGGTTTAGTCTGGCTCATAATTACTATTAATAATGTATATATGGGATACATTGTATTTCGATGTATTGAAAACCTCTTGAATTTTTACAACTATTAATGGTATGGAAAATACATTTTAGCATGAAACCTCAGTTGATGTTAATAGTTACTTTGTGCAGTAGTAGTCTCCCAGTAACAATTCCAATTAAATACTTGCTTCATTGGAGCCGATTTCAGTGGAATAAATCTGGTTTTCTCTATTTTATTTTTTAGTACTTTTAGTTGTAGATGGACACAATACCTTTAGTTTGTTTATTTAGTTTTAAGTTATGCTTAAGATTGAACGCAGGGCCTCACACATGCTAGGCAAGCACTCTTAACCACTGAGCTACAACCCCAGCTCTTCTCTCCTTACTTTTAAAGAAAAATTGACACAGACATAGTTGAGTCTCCTATAGTGCTAACGTAGTTTTAATTTTCAAATCTCTGCAATAAGCACCAGCTAGTCCTGGACTGAGAAGGAAGCCTGTACAGTCTGTCTGGGTAATAGCTAATACAGTTTTCATTGTATGTAGGTTATGGACATCTAGATGGATGTTCTTGGAAGAAGGAACAATTTACATTTTTATTTGTTTGCATCTCACTAGTCTGTGACAACTGTTTATAGAGGAATGTGTGGGTTTCTGTGATAGCCTTCAAAAGTTAGGCTTTTAAGAGTAACTTGGAGCTCAAATAGAATACACTGTTCCCCACCCCCACACATTTATTTCCAATTTCAGAGGCTGGGAAATGTTGGAAATGTGATCTGGGGGCAAGGACACGATGTAACAAAACATGGATCTGTGTACTTTTGCCTTGATCTTGGCAGCTATAGGGTTGGTCAACTATTGTAGATTTTGTGCCAATATCAGGTCACAGCTTCTCAGTGGCCAGCGTGGGTCACAGTGAACCTGATGACATTGAGTTCAAGATTAGGATCAGGTGGCTTTGGTCTATTACTTGACCACAGGCTACCCTCTGAATGCAGCTGGCTGTTTCAGAGGTGGGGCGACATAGCCACAGGACCCCAAACCAGAAGTTCTGGCTAGATGGTTCCTGTGGCTTAATGTGTAGCTGCTGTGGGAGTAGGAGGGAGTGGGAGGAGCATGCCCGGCTAGCCTGGTGGTGGCTCAGGATGGTCTGTTTTGATTTAGTGCCCAATGAACTTATTCTCCTGTTGTGAACCCAGGGGTTTGCATATGCTAGGCAAGTGCTCTACAATTAAGTTACATTCCTAGACATTTTTTAAAAAAATTTATTTTGAGACAGGATCTTGCCAAGTTGCCAGGGCTGTCTCCAACTTGCCATTGAAAACCCTTTAGGGGTGCCCTGCTGGAGACCACCCCACAGTCCCTCACTAAGTCCTCACAGCCAGTTTTTCTTCTAGCATCAGAGTGGATCACGGCTTTTTAGATTAAGCACCAAATGAACTGGTTGTCAGATCTGTGTCTTCAGACAGCATCACACTCAGTGTGATAAGATGCTCTTGCCATAAAAAGGAACATGCTGGAGCCAGTGACAGCCAAGGAACCAAATCTTCCATTTGCATGTACACTTTGGGGGGAAATGTGGACCTGGCCTTTTGCCTATCTCCCCCGACCTTGCCAAGCCCTCATTGGATCCCCAGAAACTGAATCCACAAGTACAGTTCCACCGTGTTTCTTTCATTTCCTTTTATTATTCATTTAGCTAAGAAACCGTCAGGTGCTTTGTGGTGTGTTCTGGGAAGGCCATCAGTGCTTGCTTTCTTGGAACTTGGGCCCCCGATACTTAAAGGTTAGGTTTTCCCTCACAGTGGTCTTCTCGAAAGGAAGGAATGATGCTGCATTTGAAGCTCTTATGAAGCAGGGATTCTCTTAGCTGGCCAAGAAAGGGCTGCTCAGGGAAAACACCTTTTCTTCATTTGTCCCTTTAAATGCTTATTGTTGGGGTCATCTGCAGAACAGACGAAGAGGCTTAACAGAGTTTACTGAGAAATTATTTTGAGGAAGAACTCACAATTGAAAGGGCTGGGTGTTCTCATGAGCAATTTTTGTTGTTGTTGTGTTTTTAAGATCACTTTAAAAAGCAATATAGTGAGTGGTTACATTGTAGACAGGAACACCATACTTACTAGATAAATAAAAAATACCCACGTGCCATAATGCTGTGTGATTGTACTTGAAGCTTGGGGTAAAGTTTCCAGTGTGGTCTCATTCAGAATTCAAGTGCGACTCTGCAGGCAGCCAAGAATACAAGATGACCATCAGCTGTGTGACTCCGAGCACATCTAGTGACCGGAAGATACAGATGCTGTCATGGAATGTGAAGAGTGTCGGGAAGCCATAATCCCAGCTAACAGATTATTTTAAATGATAGGCAATTTAAAAATATTTGGATATAACTAAATTCACACAATGAGTATTACAAATAGATGTTTGATTTTTATCCATATTGGAAAATGGAGAGGTCACAAGCTCCTTTTTAAAAGAAAAAAAAAATTACTAGCTTTTCATTAGAGAAAGTGCAGAATTGATTTGAATTTGAGGTAGCCTCGATTTGTGCATATTTGGCTGTGTAACAGGGAGACCTGAGTAATAAAGGAGCAATTCTAAGAAGAAGTGCTCAGCGGCTGCTGTCCTGGGAGAGAGGAGAGATTTCCAGGAGACCACAGAATGGGTCCCGAGCAGCCTGGGAGGCAGGATAGGCTTCTTGGAGAAAGTGACTCTCAAGCTAAACCTGAAGAGCAGATAGGAGTCGGCCAGGTGGAGGTGAGGGAGGAAGTATCAGGGAGGGAGAGACGGTACCAGGCCCCAGGGGAAGCCAAGCCGGGACCCTTTTGAAAAAACGGCCAATGCTGTAGTAGGGCTCTGACTGCAAGGGAAGGTGGGTCGGTTCTGGCATGGAGGTCAGATAGGGAGATCTGGGCACGTGCCTTGCTCAGTTTTGATTTAGGGCCTGGAATTGATATGGCCCTGTCCTGGGGGGAGTTGGGTCCTGGAGTAGTTGTCAGCTGTCCGTCTGTGGCAGGGACAGAAAGGACAGAGGGCCCCTTGCCCAGTGGAAAGGGCTGAGGTGGTGGGCCCGACCCCCCTGGGCTGGTGCTCTGTCCGACTCCTCCTCTCACCCTGCTCCAGGTGTGGACACTGCCAGCGGCTGCAGCCGACTTGGAATGACCTGGGGGACAAGTACAACAGCATGGAGGACGCCAAGGTGTACGTGGCCAAGGTGGACTGCACGGCCGACTCGGAGGTGTGCTCCGCCCAGGGTGTGCGAGGATACCCCACGTGAGTAGGGAGGAAGGGCACGCACCCCGCGGCGCTGGGCTTTCCGCATCTCGGTGCCGTCTCCCTCCACTCCAGACAAGGCCAAGTTGAACTTTTGGTCATTTCCTTTGTAGGTCGGAGGAGGGAGGAGAGGCTGAAGTTAAGCAGGCCGCCCTGTGGCTAGGGGAAGACGATATTTGACCCTGTGTCTGTTTTAGAGGTTTTCTCTGTACTTTGGAGAAGGCCTTTCGTCGGCATCAGGGTCTTCTGCTTATGAGGGGGATGTGTTCAGGGGACAGTAGCGGGGTTCTGCCTGAGATCCTGCTGCCTGCGGTGTTCCCCAGGGCAGCGTCCACACTGTCACCCGCTTGGGTGTGAATAGTTGGTGACGCTGTAATTCCAAAACACCTTTCCTAGAGTGACATCCCACTGCACAAAGACTGTGTCTGCTGGGAAGAAGGGTGACAGACCAGAGGACAGCCGTCTGACGCTGACACTGCCCTCGAGGGAGGTGCTATCTACTCCCTTACGGCAGTGTTTTTTGGTTTTATCAAACCAATCGTAATTGGCTGCCAGGGTTGGGATAAATGCCCGCCGCAAAATCTCTGTTTTAAAGGCTTGGTCATCAGCGTGCGGCACCTTTGGGGTAATGGGAACTTCTATGAGGTGGGGCCTGGGGGGAAGTTAGTTGTTGGGATGTGCCCCTGAGGGAGACTTTGGGGCCCAGGCTCCTCCTTTCTCTCTCTCTGTGTCTCGCTTCCCATAAGCAGCCCCCCCCCCAACTGCTGCCCCGTGGTGTGCTGCCTCGCCATGGGCCAAAGGCAGTGGGTCCCAGGGACCCTTGGACCGAAACCAGGAGTCAAGTGAACCTTTTCCAGTGAATCCCACTATTCTGCCTGGTTACAATGCACCCATTAAAGTCCACCTTTTTATAAGCTCATTATCTCGGGTATCCATTACAGTAATACGCCAACACAGTGGCTTATGAAACAAAAGACGGTGTCTCAGTCTGTGTCCTGTTGCTATAACCAAACACCATAGACTGGTACTTCATATGAAAAATAAAGGTTTATTCAGCTCATAGCACTGAGGTCCAGGGCTCGTGGGCTGTGTCTGGTGAGGCCTTCTTGCTGGTGGGGATGATGCAGAATCCCCAGGTGGCCCAGGGCAATCTGCGCTGAGACAGCTTGCTTGTTCACTTGGGTCTCTCTTATCAAGCCACGAATGCAGGGCTGGGGGCCGCACTGTCACAAACTCATCTGATCTTAATCACTTCTTCAGGGTCTTACCTGGTTTTGCCTCTTCATCCGTGTAATGGAGACTTCAGTTTCAACATGAGTTTGGGTGGGAGCATTCAACTCATGGTAGAGAGGGTGAATTAAAAGGCTGGGTGGGGGGGTGCTGTGACACTCAGCCCCAGGGACTTGGGGTGTTTCTGCTGTGGCTCCCTTTAAGTGGGTGAACTGTCTAGCTCAGCATCTCTCTGTTCCGGGGGAAGACTTGAGCTGTGACTGACGGCCTTGCTGGAATGGAGCGTCTGGTCCAGGAATGGTCATGGTGGGGGGGGAGGCAGGCTCTTGAGAAGATGGAAGCCCCATTCAGACCACACTGGGAAGGTTGGAGGGAAAAGCAGTTCATTAGGATGCTGTCTGCACAGGGGGCGGAAGGGCTGGCCCCTGCAGATCCCTGCGTACTTGCCCCAGTCGGGGAATGAAGTCAGTCCTATGTCGTTCTTTACTTAGTTGAGTAATGTGGGGGGCCGTGGAGGCAGAACGAAATCAGAGCTGATCTCCAAACCTGGAAGGCAGCGTGGAAAAGGGTTCCCAGACCCCTGGGCTTGAAGACAGAAGCCACCCTGGAATCCCAGCTCCACCCTCGCACACCACACGGCTCTACGTCATTTAGCCTCGGTGGGACGGGGACGCTCATCGCACCCTCCGTTCAGTGTGGGAGTTGAGCCGAGTAACGTGCCTGTCAACACTGGTCTGAGGCGTGCTGGCTCAGTGGGAGAGGAAGAGGACTCTGGAACTCTGGGTCTTTGGTGCTTGGTAGAAACCCATCACTTCCAAAAGGCAGGGGCAGCAGAGATGGACCAGCGTGTCCAGCCTGACCGAGGGGGGACGGCGTAGGCCACCCACCGTGCTACAGGGAGGCTGAACCAGAACTCTGTCCAGGCTGAGAGAGAGAGAGGGAAGGAAAGGCGTCCCCCTGGACTGGCTGGAAACACCATCGAGTGCACTCCAGTGGCTCCGCAGATGCTGTTCCCAGACCTCACAAGACCCGTTTTGGATCATCGTGTGTCCCGAGTTTGATTTAGAAGATCCAGACTCCCCAGGTTAACCAGGAACTGGTTTTATGTTGTTAAAAAGAAGGAAAAGGAGCTCACCCTATGGGGAGTGTGGGCTGGGAGGGAGCCTCCGTGATGGTCACGGGCCTGCAGAAGTGCCCGAGAAGAGGCTTTGTCTTAGTTTGTGAGTTTGTTTCCTTCTTTCTTAACAGCGAGCAGGAAGCACGGCGCTGTGCACGGCGTGTGGTGGCATTGAGGCGTTTGTAGGTTTACCTGTGTGAGCATTTGCTTTCTCTAAACATGACCCTCATAGAGGTGTCCCGAGCCTGAACCAGATGATGAATGTCGATGCCTGATCCCAGGCTGTGTGTCAACAGCAGCTTTTACGTCATTCTTTCCCTGATCTGTTCAACTCGAGAACAAGATGGGAGTGGGAGGGAGTTTGGGCTCTCGAGCCTCTGGGGATGGCTGACGATGCTCAGGAAAGTGTTTTCAGGGCTTCTTCTCGAGCCAGGAAAGAATCGTTCTGTCTGGGAAACCCTGAGCAGGGGCTGGACTGAAGGGGAGTCACACCATCTGCAGCAGTCTCCTGTGGCTGCGGAAACAAAGAATTACACACCTGGGTGGCTGAAAACAACACTAGACGTCTTGTCTCACAGTCCTGGAGGCTGGAAATCCAAAAGTGAGGAGTCTTCCAGGCCACTCTGAAACCTGTAAGAGGCATCTTTGCCTCTTCCTGGCTTCTGATGGTTACTGTGCATTAGCTTTGTGTTACTGTCACAAAATACCTGAGATAATCAACCTAAAAAGAGGAAAGGTTTACTTTAGCTCACAGTTTTGAAGGTGTCAGCCCACGGTCTGTTGCTTTGGGGATGAGGGTGAGGCAGTGTATCATAGCAGAAGTGTGGGAGAGCAGCCAAAAGCCAAGAATTCTTACCTCGTGGTGGTCAAAAAGCCAAGAATAAGAGAAGAGATGGGGTCAGAGTCTCACAGTCCCCTTAAAGGTCACAATCCTTGATGACCCAAGATCTTCCATTAAACCCTCTTCTTTAAAGTTCTAGTACCTCCTGATAGCAGCCCACTGGGAAATGACCCCTTAACATGCGGGATATTCCAGGTCCCAGCCAAAGCAGCTGGCAATCTTGCATTCCTCAGCTTGTATGTGGACCACTCTGACCCCCTGTTTTCACACGGCCTCCCTGTGTGCCTGTGTCCAGGTAGGAATTCCCCCTTCTAACAAGAACACCTGTTGGGCCAGATGAGGGCCCCCCCCTAATGACCTCGTTTGAACTTGACCACCTGCATAAAGATTCTGTTTCTATTTATTTACTTACTTTTGGTACCAGGGATTGAACCCAGGGGCGCTTAACCACATTGAACCACATCCCCAGCCTGTTTTTATATTTTATTTAGAGACAGGGTCTCCCTGAGTTGCTGAAGCTGGCTCTGAACTTGTGATCCTCTGCCTCAGTCTCCAGAATCACTGGGACTACAGGCACCCGCCACCATTATAATATCAGGTGCATTGTCCATCGCTGGAGGCACGTCTACACATCTAGTTCTATTTTGGCTTTTTCCCTCTTTTTGTCTAAAAGTACAGATGGTCCCTGACAATTGCATTTGAACTTGAGACATTTTGACTTTCTGACAGGGGTAAAAGCATCCCCATACAACCCTTCTCCCTGCCACACTCAGTAAGTACGGGAAACATCCAAGCCACGAGGTGGTCTGTCCTTGATCCTACAGGAGGCTGTGTGTCAGGTGATTTTGCTTTCTGTAAAGTAGCGGAAGTATTCTGAGCGTGTTTAAGGTGGGCTGGGCTAAGCTATGGCGTTTGATCACTTAGATGTACTAAGTGTGTTTTTGAGGTAGGATATTTTCAATGTATGATGGGTGGATGAGGATATAACCCCACCGTAAGCTGAGGGGCATCTGTCTGAGCTACTGGGACCAGGCATCACTTTTTTACTGGTGGCACGTTGGGGACTCACCTCAGCCCCTTCACGTGATCTCAGGTTCGTGTGTGGCCAATGCACGCTTCCTCCTTCCGTGCCTTAATGTAACTGAGGTTTTCTTGTGCAGCTATGAGACTTTGGGACTTCCCCTTAAGGCCGTCTTGTCGAGAGAAGTCAGCTGTTTGTTATGGACGGAGTGATTGTGTCCGCTAAGGTGCATGTTGAAATCCTAACCCCAGCGTGGTGGCGTTAGGAGGTGGGACCTTGGGAGGACCTTGGGAGGTCATTAGGACAGAGTCGTCATCAGCGGGATTTTTGCCTTGATTAACCAGACCCCAGAAAACTCTTGTCTCACCTGCCATGTGAGGACACCCGGAGGAGGTGCCATCGATAAGCCGGAAAGCGTCCCCAGGCACTGAGTGTCCGGGCTGTGGATCTTGCTCTCCCAGTCTCTGAAACCGAGAAACAGACCTCTGTTGCTGATGAGCCAGGCGGTGAATGGTGTTCTGTGGCAGTAGCCCAACAGGCCCAGGCACCAGTTCAACCTCTGTGTCTGACTTCAGCATCCATTGACCTTTTCTTTAATTTTAATTTTTTATGTGCTTTAATCCATCATCCATGGTGGTAGAATACATTGATGCACTTTGACTTCTCATACGTAGCTGGGATACAATCTCTCATTTTTCTGAGTCTCCGTGTTGTAGAATCACGCGGGTCAGGCAGTCACATATATCCATAAATGTCTGTGCGGTTCCACTGTCCCTGCTGTCCCCTCCTCCCGTCCCCCCCCCACTTCCCTCCACCTAATCTAAGGTCACGCTATTCTTCTCCAGCGCCCCCCGCATTGACCTATTAACCTGATTCTGACCTTGGCCACCGACACACAAAACCCACATACGTGCCGTGGGGACGTCAGGGGTGACCTGGGTGAGCAGGCCTCCCAGCAGATGCCGGTCTGTACTCCTTTCTCTCTGGCAGTAGCCACGTGTCCCCGTCCCTCTGGGCCTGTTCTGTGCAGTTTCCCGTTTGCAGGGAGGGATCCGGACCAGGAGCTGCCAGTGTCACTTGTGGGAGTGTCTTTAGCTCACCATGAAGGGAACAGCTCCCACGTCCCCTGAAGATCCTCAGAGACCAACCTATGGAGGGGGTCGGGACGGGGAAGTGAGGGAATGGGACTGGATCAGCCAGTGTCAGGGGTGTCCTTAGAGGTGGAAACTGGAATTTTCACCATGACTGGATGCTCGTTTATTTGCGGGAGCCAAATACCCGCTAAGGTGCCTTTGCAATGCCTGTATTGCAAAACAGTGCCGCGTCTGCCGTCGTCCTAGTTTAGACATACATAACCGCAGTGACCTGCTGCCTGGCGGCAGCCCCTGGGCAGCTCATCTGATCCTTCCTTCCTTCTTTCAGCCTCAAGTTTTTTAAGCCTGGCCAAGAAGCTGTGAAGTACCAGGGTCCTCGGGACTTCCAGACCCTGGAGAACTGGATGCTGCAGACGCTGAACGAGGAGCCGGCCGTGAGTCCTCCCTCCCTTCCTTCCTCCCTTCCTTCCTACAGTTTTGGGGTCCTGTATAAGTGGGCAGAGGCCAGATGAAGTGACTAATTAATCCTGCCACTTTAAAGCAACTTTTTGTTATAATTCTTTGTTATTGTAAGTAAAGATTAAAACAGTTTTTGATGGAAATATTCAGATATGCACAAAAGTAGAGAGGAACATCTAACCAGCGGACTCCCACCTTCAGCGGTTATCACCGTTTTACCCACCTCTCTCTCTTTCTCTCCTGTCCCCTGTCCCTTATTTGGCTACATTAGTCCTCCTCGGAGAGTGTCACTGGTGAATATTTCAGCATACCATCTCACAGACAGGCCCTTCCCACCCTTCGACATAGCCCCTGCCACTCACACGTGGAATACAAGGAGTAACAATCCTTAGGCATCAGGATGGACTCTTGACCACCTGGGGCCCAGGGCAGAGTATCCAGCCCCAGCTGGCTTGCCACCACCTCCCTTCTCCCCAGGGCCTTTGACCTTCACCGCCCACAGCCCCTGACTCAGTCCCGCCCCTGCCAACCATACCCATAGCATGGGTCTGTCCTTATCGACTCCGTCCTCAGCCCCCACTTAATACCAGTAAGTGCCCTTCGTGTCTCTCTGGACCTCCCTGTATGAGGGAATGACCGTACTCTAAGAAGGTGACTAAGGAAATGTGTTCTCTCTGGTCTGCCTGAGGTCACAGTCTTCCTGTGGTGGTTGGTCACAGTGGTCAGCAGCTGTTCCTTCGTGTGTGGTGCTTTCTGACCAATGCCGCGTGCCCAGGCCCACAGAGGCTGGGTTAGACTTTGTTGGTTGGTGCCATGATGTCAGCAGGATGGGACAGTGGCCAGCAGCCCCTGGCTGTGTGTCTCTGGGGGAATATCAGGAGCATCTAAAGTCATTGAATGTGACTTCGGTGTCACCAGTTAACTTCAGACTGCCTGTGAGTCAGGAGGTGTCCAGAGACTTGAAGGTGGTCTGTGGCCACCTGCCACCCAGCAGTCGAGCTCTGCTGCTTATCGATGGCCTTTTCCAGGGTGTGCCTGCGGCTCTTAACTCTGTCCTGTCACAGCTACTCAGAAACTCTGCTGTTCCCTCCACCCTCCCACAGCTCGGATTTCAAACTGTAACCTCGTGGGGAGGAGTGCTGTAGCATCAGGGTCCACTAGAGACTTATCTAATTATAGGAAACGGAAGACCACAGACCTCTCGGACAGTAGATTTGCATCTTTGTCACGGTGAGAAAGCTGGTGGAGCAGGTGCAACTTTCACACAGATTAAACTTCACATTGTTGCCGTGTGAAAATGTTCTTTGGAGAGGAGGCAGGTATGGGGAGTGGGAGGGGAATAACTTTAAAGAGCACTTAGTAGCCTCAAAAAAAAACAAAAAAAAACTTTTAAGGTAAACTTTGCACCCAAAAGCCTGTTTTCTGCAATGGTTTTATTTAACAGCCAATGTGAGAATGTGCGGGCAATTTTATCTTGGAAAGGTGTGTCCTGCCAGGAGCCGGCTTCCCCTTTGCAGACGTGGCCAGGGAGGAGGTGCAGTGATCAGGGCTCGGCCTACACGCTCTGAGGGTTGGTTTGGAGACGCTGGATGCATGGAATTTACCTGTCACCCTGAAGCCACTTACCTAACCTCCATGTTTTAGTGTCTCCAAGCAACAAGGTTTTCAGATCATTGCCACAAACGATGACAGTGACAATGTGTGTGTTATCATGCAAAAGTTAAAGTATGGAAACTTTGTCTAGGTGGAGTACCCCTCACCTAAAATGCTTGGGGCCAGAAGTATTTCACATTCTTTTCAAATTTTGGAATATTTGCATACACATCATGAGATATCAAGTCTAAACCTGAGATGGATTTATGCCTTTTTTTTTTTTTTGTAACATATACCTTATACACACACACACACACAGCCCAAAGGTAATTTTCTTTCTTTTTATTTTTTTTTGGTACTAGAGATTGAACTCAGGGGCACTCCACCAATGAGCCACATCCCCAGCCCTATTTTGTATTTTATTTAGAGACAGGGTCTCACTGAGTTGTTTAGTTCCCCACCATTGCTGAGGCTGGCTTTGAACTTGCGATCCTCCTGCCTCAGCCTCCTGAGCTGCTGGGATTATGGGCATGCACAGCCGCTCTCAGCCCAAAGGTAATTTTTAATACAACGTTTTTAGTGTGCCGGCTTTCTTTTTTATTTTTTAAAATATTTATTTTTAAGTTTTAGTTGGAGACAATATCTTTATTTTACATTTATGTGCATGCTAGGCGAGTACTCCACCACTGAGCCACAACCCCAGCCCCAAATGTGCGGCTTTCTGACTTCAACCTGTCACGGGAGGTCAGTGGTGGAATTTTCCACTTGTGTTCTCATGCTGGTGCTCAAAAGACTTTGGATTTTGGAGCATTTTGGATTTGGGGTTTTTGGAGTAAGGATGCTCAATCTGTACTAAAAATCAGAAAATCTTTTCAATTTTGACTTAGCTTTTTAAAATGAAAAGATGTTTTTTTAAAGTTCTTCATCTGTACTTCTGCCCTAAATAGTTTAATATATACATTTTTATATTTTTGCATAACAAACTGGGGTTTTTCCCCTTCATTTTGTGATAATATTTCAAAGGAAATTATGCCATTTTTTTATGTCATACCCTGCTTTTTATATTTCCGTGTTTACTCCTCTGCTTTTTTAAAACACAGTTACAATCATGTAAATGTTTCACCCTTTCTATAATGAATACTTTATATTCCTATATCACGTGGACTTGGCATAGTTTGATGCTTCTGCTATTAGTGGATGTTTAGATTGTTTATGATTCTTTTCTCATCAGAAATGACATAAAGAACATGTTAATCTTTTGAAGAGCTTTCTTTCCTCCTCTTTAAAAAAATTTTTTTATTTGTTCTTTTTAGTTAAATGTGACAGTAGAATGTATTTGGACATATCATATGTACATGGAGTCTAATTTCCCATCCTTGTGGTTGTACATGATGTGGAGTTTCAGTGGTCGTATATTCACATGTGAACACAGGAAAGTTATGTCCAGTTCATTCTATTGTCTTGTCCATTCCCATCCTCTCACCCTTACCCCCACTCCAACCTGTCCTATCTGGTGAACCCCTGCTTATTGTGAGTCAGCATCCACATATCAGAGAGAACATTCAGCTTTTGGTTTTTTGGGATTGGCTTATTTCACATAGCATGATAGCCTCCAGTGTCATCCATTTACTGGTAACTCCCATAACCATACTTCATTCTTCTTCATGGCTGAGTAATATTCTGTTGTGTATATATATCACATTTTCTTTATTCACGTGTCGAAGGGCACCTAGTTGGTTCCATAGTTTAGCTATTGTGAATTGAGCTCTTATAAATATTGATGTGGCTGTGTCACTGTAGTATGCTGATTTTAAGTCCTTTGAGTATAGACCAAGGAGTGGGATAGCTGGGTCAAATGGTGGTTCCATTCCAAGTTTTTTGTCTTTCCTCCTCTTTTTTAGTGATATTTTATGAATATATTTCCAGACATAAAATTACAAAGCCCGAAGTTAAAGAATATTTTTAAAAATAAGTATTTAAAAAATGTCAAAATTAATTTTAAAATATTTCAAATAATATTTAAAACAAATAAATACACTTAAAAAAATTATGGCTCTTAATGAATATTGACGACTGCTTCCCTCAGAGTCCCGTCAGTTTCCACCGTCACCAGCAGGGAGAGGCGGTAGCTGTGTCTGTCATATGTGGTGGTGTCCCCGTGATGGTGGGGACTGCTCTGGTGTCCCCCGGGGGCACAGAAGTGAGCCTCACAGGAACGTGTTATTTCTGAAAGCCCTTTGGACATCTCGGAAGGATGACGACCAGCACCTGGTGTCATTTGAGCTCATAGACTGTCCTCCCGCCATCCTTTGCTTGTGGTCCTTCTTGGCATTTTGAGAGATGGGAAGGGCCCTCCGCGATGCTCTCTGGCCGTCACCAGGGGCCTCGCCCGACTTACCCTGGATGTCCTTTTCCATACAGAGGTCAGCGGCCAGGTGAGACTGCAGCAGTGGGCACCGTGCGTCTCCGCTCAGGCGTCCAGCGGTCTCTCCCCTTCTGGTCACTTGGAAGCCAGGGTTGTACCTGGCCTCGAAAACAGGAATTGAAATTGTGTAGGACCCTGGTGATTTGGTGGCTCCTGGGGACCAGAACCCCTGCCCCCAGCCCACCTTACCTTTCGGCTTCCTGTGGCTCCGGCTTTCTGTGGCTTCAGTTACCCACAGTCCAATAATATTAAATGGAAAATTCTAGAAATAAGCAGTTCATGAGTTCTGAGTAACTGTTGCTACAGCACATGGTTCTGATTGTTCTCTCTCATTATTAGTTGCAGCTGTTAGTTTCCTGCTGGGCCTAGTTTATAAGCTGAACCTTAAGATAGATACGTGTGGACAGGAAAAACGAGATCCGTCAGGTTAGGTACTACCTGCGGCTTCAGGCACCCACTGGGGGCCTTGGCACACACCCGTGCAGATAGGCAGGGGACTGCCGGGCTGACAGGAGCGTCTTTTACAAAGCCCTTCTGGTCACGTGAGGCACCATCACAGCCTGTGAACCCGACCGTGGGTTCCTCCTTTCCATCCATTCCCCGGGTATTTTCCTCTCGTCACCTCTTGTCTCTGATTTGTCGTTGACCGTCGGCCTTCCTTCTGGTGTGAGTGAAGGGGAGCAGGCCCCAGCTCCCTGGCATCCTCTACTCTCAGTCCCATCCATCCTCTGCCTCTGTGTGTTGAGGCGCTGCCCCCGCACAGGAAGCCCATCGGGAGTTTTATTTTGTCCCCTGTGTGAAACTTCAGGACTCACTTCAGAGAAGAGAGCAGAGTTGGGGCGGGACCGTCCTTCAGCCTGTCTGCCTTGTTGGGTGGGTGCTTCGGTGGGGGACAGCTGTCACCGGCTGCCTGGGAGCCTGGGTCCTGCAGGGTAAGGCTGGCGAGGGGCTTGCAGCTCACACACCCAGAGCATGGACGGGGCAGTTCCCAGCCTGGCCTGGCCCAACCCAGCGGCACCGACACAGGTGCAGGGAGTTGGGAGCCAGGGCGTCTGCAGAGGCCCTAGACAGAGACCTGTCCCCTCGTCAGCTTCCCTGTGTGTGCACGAACAAGCCCCGTGACCGCTGTTTTGTTTTCTCCTATCAGACGCCAGAGCCAGCCGCGGAACCCCCCAGAGCCCCGGAGCTCAAGCAGGGCCTGTACGAGCTCTCGGCCAGCAACTTCGCGCTGCACGTGGCACAGGGTAAGGTGGGCAGGGCCCGGCCGCCCGAGGTGGGGATGCGGGCTTCCTGGAACACTGACCCCGTCACGTGACCCGCTGGCTTCTTTCTGACCAGGGGTCTCTCTCCGGGACCCGGCGGGATCGCCCTTGGACATTCTTTTTCCTTCCGTGTTTGCCCCTGCAGACCTGCCAGGCCTCAGCAGAGCTAAAGTCCTGGGTGCTGAAAGTTGGGGTCACGCAGAGGCACACCCGGGAGGTGCCCCAGCTGCTGGTGCGCCCTGGATAAGTGTTTATATTCATGCTGACCACGCGCTTATTGTCCGTAGGCAGCCACAGCCTCCCCTACCTGTTAAAGCAGGATTGAGTGGGACCATAATGACCTGCGAATCGAATCAGGTGTCTCCACACTAAAATACCTTTCTCTAGCATATCTCACATTTTGGAAATGGTCCCCCAAAGATCGCAGTGATCTACCTGCGGCCTCCTGTGTGAGTGACCACATGTCCGTCTGTGTTCACACGTGGCCACCATTCAGGAAAGCCGTCTCCCTCTGGGTGACAGGAATGTAAACGCAGCCTCCTTGCTGGCCGCCAGGGTCAGGCGCTGCCATGGAGAGAGGTCCTGGGGAAGAGGGTGGGAAACCTCGGGTGAGAGGCTCGGAGTTGATCTGACCTCACGGCCCGAGCCCGCTGGCAGCCGGACCCCTCGTCGGCCACTGCGCTCTGTCTAAAATGACTTGACGGTGGTGACACCTTCGGCCTTCTGCTGTTACTTAAGGTGCACCAGCGTCCCCAGGAGTGGGACCTCAGCGGGCCTCCTCCCGCAGGAGATAAACTGTGGGTTCAGACTGACTTGGGCCCCCTGCAGAAGGGGCTACCCAAATCACCTTGTCCTAGATGGTCCCTTGGGAGCCGCGTCCAGCCCGGCCCTGGACACGTCCCTGCTGCAGGGCGGCACTCTGTAGGCCCCACGCCACGCTGCTGGACAAGGATCCCTCCCTGAGACGGCTGCCTCTTCTTGCCCTCCTTGGTTTCCCATCAGGATCCTGATTGGTTCCTGGAGACCCTGCTCCACCCGGCCCCCGAGGTTAGGCATCCACCTGTCCACAGGCTGGGTTCCTGCCTTGCACAGGAGGTGCTCAGTTTTTAACTATGTGTCGCACCATTTCCTTATAAATGCACCACTGCTGAGCACGGATGTGGGGGAGTCCTGGGGGGAGGCCAGGCCAGGCCCCCGTCAGGGCGTTAGCTAGATCTTCCCCAGCCCCAGCCTGCTGTGGGGTTGGCATCAGCCCTGCATCAAAGAACCGCCCAGATAAAAGCCTTCAGTGTCTACAGAACGATGTTGTCAGGGGTTTTCTTTTCCTTAGCCAAAAGGGTGGTCCTGTTTTTTAAACCTTCTGTTTTGTGGCAAAATAGAACAGAGATTACAGGAAGCAAACGTGGCGCCTGGGAAACGGTCATCCTGCCGCCCCCGCCCAGGCCCGGCGGCCCAGCTGCCAGCCTCTC